ATGGGAAGGGTGGACTCACCGTTCTGTCACTACTGTGGAAACGTCGATGATAACGTGTACCACACATTCTTCACCTGCGAACACTTCTTGATTTCGCGCAGAATGTTGGAAGAAAGACACGGAGACATAACTCCGAACAACATAGTTGGGGTAATGATTTCCAGCGCAGAAAAGTGGGAAGCAGTTGCGAGATACGTGAAATTCGTATTCCGCTGCAAAAGAGAGGACGGTTGTCTACTGAGGACACCCGAATGAAACGCCCCTACAAAAGAGCAGCCCCAAGGCTCTAACAGCGCGCTCCTGCATCTGAAGACATGCAGAATTTCGGTGCCAGATGCGGGATTCTTGCGCGGGCGGTGGGAGTTTTAGTGGGTAGCCCAACACGCTTCGGTGGGAGTCCCACACTCGGGGAAGGTAGTATAGAGACTAGCGCCCCCGGCCAGTGCATAAAGCATTTCCCTCCTACGAAAAAAAAAAAATTATAATAATAATAATAATTATTATTATTACTTAGAATCAAAGAGAAAGTATTTTTCTTTCTTATTTATTTAAAAAGCATCAAGTTAAAATTTTTTAAAACTCTTTTTGGATCCCTGCCCCTTGTTGACTTTAAGAACGTTGAAACGCACAGTCTTAGAAAGTGGACGACACTCGCCAACTGTAACTATATCACCGATTTCGACATCTCTGAAACATGGTGAGCAATGAACACTCATATTCCTATGACGCTTTTCAAAACGGCTGTACTTGTGAACGAAATGCAAATAATCACGTCGAATAACAATAGTGCGTTGCATTTTACATTTTCGCACTGCTCCTGTCAAAATACGACCACGAATGCGCAAATTACCAGTGAATGGACACTTTTTGTCGATGTAAGTACCATCAACGGCTTCACGGGGGGTTTTGAAACCCAAGCCAATATCGCGATAGCGACGGAGAACTTTCTTCTTCGTCACTCCAGGCTTAAGTTATCTGTTAAGATTGATGCCAAATTGTTTTTGGAATGCCCTTTCGTTCTGATCAGCCATATTGAGTAATAATAATAATAATCCATTGGCTAGCTTGGAGACGCCCGTATTCTCACTAGACGTTTACGTCTAGAAGTTCTGGGCATGTACTGCCTAACCACGGCCCCAGAAGTGGAGAACGCTATACGCGGGGAGTTAGGAGACAAGATGAATGGCCAACTTCGCGTCTCTCTCCTCGCTGTAAACTCGCGAGAACAAAGAATGGCTGTGGTGGAAATCGACGAACTGCCAGGCCGGACTCTTATTGAAAAGGGGAAGCTGCGAGTAGGTTGGATTATCTGCCGCGTCCGAGAGCGCGCGGATGTTCAAAGGTGTTTCCGCTGTCTGGGGTATGGCCACAAAAAGGCGGCATGCAAAGGCCCAGACAGAAGCAGTTCATGCTGGAAATGCGGTCAGCAGGGCCACATAGCTTCTGCATGTAAAGAAAGCCCAAGCTGCTACCTGTGCTCGGCAGGAGATGGACAGAAAAATGCCAACCACCTGCCCGGGTCGGGAGCGTGCAAGGCCTTCAGGGATACCCTTGCTGAGGCTAAGACAAAGCTTGGGAGAATATGATTAAATTTATACAAGGCAATATGAACATGAGTAGGGTAGCTGATGACCTGCTGGACCAATTGGTTCTTGAACAAAGAGCAGACGCTGCCATCATCAGTGAACCCTATAGAACAAAGGAAACCTGGCACGTTGACCAATCAGGCTCGACCGCGATATGGATTGCTAACCCCAACCATCGCGCAGAGAGCAGCGGGGTCGGACGCTGCTACATCTGGGTTAAAATGGCGCAAATCACTCTAGTGAGCTGCTACCTGTCTCCAAACGACACAGTCCCTGTCTTCAGGGAAAAGCTCGAAGACCTTGAAGACGAATTGCGCGATATAACCGGCCACATAATTGTTGCTGGAGATTTCAACACAAGAGGCGTGGAATAAGGTATGCCCAAAACAAACACCAGGGGAAGACTGGTCCTTGAAATGGCAGCCCGCATTGGCCTGACCATCCTCAACACCGGACCGACACCTACATATCGAAGGCCGGGTTTTGGATACTCTATCCCTGACATAACCCTGGTCTCAGAAAGCCTTCTTCGAAGGGCTGACGGATGGAGAGTGATGGAAGACCTGAGTGGTAGCGACCACAACTACATCACGTTCCAAGTCACTGACATAACGCGAGGGCAAACACGTAGTATCCCTCGCAGGAAACCAGGATGGAACCCGTCTAGGGTCGATGTTCGCAAGTTCGATACGTCACTCCTAGCAGATTCCCAAGGCATTTCACCCACAACGGGAGAGATCCACAACAGGGAGTCTTGTACTAAGCTGGTCGAAGAAACTATGCGCTGCATTCACCGGGCAT